CTTTCTATCTCTCATTCTCTCTCTCTCTCAAATAAATAAATAAAATCTTAAAAAAAAGAAATATTTGTTGATGAATGAATGTCCCTTTCAACCATAACTTTCCAGGAAGCACCCTCATAGTCATACTCTCCACTCACCACACTCTAGCCCAGCTCAGAGAGGTAAATAAGCAATTAGAATGGACCTCCCTTTCTTGGAGGACCTGGGACCAGTTGATGAAGGAGAGGTCAGCCAAACACAAAGGCCTTTGTGATATCCACAGCCAGAAGTGACCCCTGTCCAAACTCCTACCTGGTGGTCTCTGGTTTGCTAATTTACTCTGAACTAATAGCAGATAGCTAAGGGATCAGTATAAGATTTAAGCAGACAACTAAAATATCGATTAATAATTAAGGCTTGGCAAATAGCTAAACTACTAAGTGCTGAGATAAAACCTGATAAATAAAGTATATTGCTTATAAATAAAGTGTTAGAAAATAACTAAACTGCTAGTAGAAAATCAAATATTAACTACTCAAGTGTTAGGTGATTACCAAGGGATTAATTTAAACCTAAGTTGTTAGCAGATACTGGTTAGCCAATGACTAAGGTAACAGTTGATAAGGATTTAAAGTGAGATTTTTTTTCCTAGGGAACTCTTGCACATTAGAGGGGACATGGGAGCAGCAGAATGCTGATAAAGCGTAGGAATGAAGGCCTACTTGGGACTGCAAAATCCTCAGCTGGACTAAATTTCTGGGGGAAACTGTTTGCTCATCTTTGGTTTCTAGGTAGGTTCTAATCAGGGACAGCATGGAGCTGGTGCTCAAAATGCTTACTTTAGAATTAAATTATATATGCTGTAGGCCAGGTGCTGTGCTAAGAAGAAAAAGGAGAACAGTTGCTTAAATAATAGCACAGTGAATGAATGGTGTGTGAAAGGAAAGGCTTTGGGGGGGTTTGGCAAAGGCTAAGTGGAAGCGAGAGAGATATGTCAGGGAGACATGATGAGTTTAGTTCTGGACATGTTGAACTGAAATGTCTGTAGACATGCCCACTAGGCAGGTGAATATGAGTCCAGTATAGATACAAGGTAGAGATTTGAGTGTCAGTAGGATGTAGATGGTGGGACGCCTGGATGGCTCAGTTGGTTAAGTGCCTGACTCTTGATTTTGGTTCAGGTCATGATCTCAGGGTTAAGGGACTGAGCCCCATGACAGGCTCTGCGCTCAGCTTGGAATCTGCTTGAGATTCTCTCTCCCTTTGCCCCTCCCCCGGCTAGCTCCAAATAAATAAATAAATAAAATCTTTTTGTGGGAGAGGGAGAAGCAGGCTTCCCGACTAGTAGACAGCCCGATGTGGGGCTCGATCCCAGCACCCTGGGATCATGACCCGAGCTGAAGGCAGACGCTTAACGACTGAGCCACCCAAGCACCCCAATAAATAAAATCTTTTTAAAAAATAGGGCACAGGGCGCCTAGGTGGCTCAGTTGGTTAAGCGACTGCCTTCGGCTCAGGTCATGATCCTGGAGTCCCGGGATCGAGTCCCACATCGGGCTCCCTGCTCAGCGGGGAGTCTGCTTCTCCCTCTGACCCTCTTTCCTCTCGTGCTCTCTATCTCTCATTCTCTCTCTCTCAAATAAATAAATAAAATCTTTAAAAAAAAAAATAGGGCACTGATGTTGGTCGAAACTATGAGGTACAATCAGATGGCTGCAGTAGAGCAGCACATGGAGTGAGAAGAAGGAAGACCAACAGGGAAGGAAAGGAGAGGGCAGGAGGAAGAGACATCAACAGATATGAGAAGGAAGCAGCACTCAAAGAGAAAGGGGTAAAACCAAGAAAGATAGTGGCATGAAAGGGAAGAGAATGTGTCAGGGAGAAGAGTGCAGTCAGCAATGTCAGATGTGGCTGAGAGGTCAAGCAGGATAGGTCAGAGAGACGTCCATTGAGAATGTGGTTCTGAGGTGTCCATCACGAACATTCCTATGATTGCTGCATTTCATTGTGTGTATGTGTGTGCACAGCATATGCAGAGCTGGAACCTGGAGCAGGGTGTGTAAGGGCAGGCTGGAGGCCACCATAGTGGGGCTTGTGGTCTGCTCACAGAGAGCCTTCATTTACTCTGGGTAGCTTTTGAGAGGGACCATTAAGGGACACTGCAAGAACTAAGCACAGTTCAACCCTTTCATTGTCCAGTGGGAAAATGGAAGACAGCAGAGAGGCAACAGCTTGCTCAGTCTATGAGTCAGGGGCTCAGTCTATGAGTCAGGGGCACAGCCAGGACTTAAATCTGAGTCTCCCTTCTAGAAGAGTGACCTTGGGAGGAGTGGACATGAAGTTCTTACTAGCTAATGAATTATCAATCAGTGATTTTGCCCATCATCTCAGTTTTTAGCAGCCTCTTTTTATATTTCTATAAAAGTGAAATACATATTTTACATACAAAATTCAAACATTACAGAAATACTTAACAAAGACAGTGAAGGTCTCCTGTTATCCCCTCTTTCCCCTGACTCCCTCATTGACAACCACCATTAAGAGTTTGGTCTAGGGGTACCTGGGTGGCTCAACTGGTTAAGCATTAATGACCTCAGGGTCTTGGGATTGAGCCCCACGTTAGCCCCACATCGGGCTCCGCACTCAGGGAGCAGGGGTCTGCCTGTCCCTCTGCCCCTCCCCACTCATACTTCCTCTCTCTCAAATAAATAAATAAAATCTTAAAAAAAATAGGTTGGTCTATATTCCTCTCTCTCCCTCTCACTTAATACTGGAAAATTTTGATAAAAATATTGTACTTCTTTATACTGGATTTTTTTTTTAATTTTATTTTTAAGTAATCTCTACATCCAACATGGGGTTCGAACTTACAACCCCAAGATCAAGAGTCACATGCTGTACAGACAGAGCAGCCAGGCACCCCTAGACCAGATTTTTGTGTGTGTGCATGTATTCATTCTGTTTTACAAGTTGCCCTTCTTTCACTTTTGGACAACTTTTTCTATGGTAGCATATAGAAATTCTAGTTCATTCGTTTTGGGGCCCCTGGCTGGCTCAGTCAGTAGACCGTGTGACTCTTAGTCTCAGAGTTGTGAGTTCAAGCCCCACATTGGGTATAGAGATTACTTAAAAATAAAATATTTTAAAAAAATCTAATTCATTCATTTTAATTTTTTTTTTTTAGATTTTAAAAAAATGTTAAGTAATCTCTACACCCAACGTGGGGCTCAAACTCAACCCTGAGACCAAGAGTCTCATGGTCTACTGACTGAGCCAGTCAGGTGCCCCTAATTCATTCATTTTAATAAGTGTATTAGTATACCATTTGGATTTGTACCATAATTCATTATCAGACCATATTGATGGATACAGGGTTGCATCCAATTTTCACTATTATGAACAATGTACATACATATTATTGTACATATATATTTGTACAGTTTGGGAGACTTCTAGGATGAGAAATGATGGATCAAAGGACATGAACATTTAGCTTTATTTTTTTTATTGATTTTTTTTTGAAGATTTTATTTATTTGAGAGAGAGAGAGAATGAGAGACAGAAAGCACTAGAGGGGGCGCCTGGGTGGCTCAGTTGGTTAAGCGACTGCCTTCGGCTCAGGTCATGATCCTGGAGTCCCAGGATCGAGTCCCACATCGGGCTCCCTGCTCAGCAGGGAGTCTGCTTCTCCCTCTGACCCTCTTCCCTTCTCGTGCTTTCTATCTCTCATTCTCTCTCTCTCTCAAATAAATAAATAAAAAATCTTTAAAAAAAAAGAAAGAAAGCACCAGAGGGAGGAGGGTCAGAGGGAGAAGCAGACTCCCCGCTGAGCAGGGAGCCTGATGCGGGGCTCAATCCCAGGACTCCAGGATCATGACCTGAGCCGAAGGCCGTTGCTTAACCAACTGAGCCACCCAGGGGCCTGAACATTTAGTTTTAAAAGATACTGCCAAATCACCCTCTAAAAACTTGTGCCAGTTCATTGTCCCACCAACAGTTACTATGAATGCCCATTTCCTCACATCCTTATCAACTATGGGTATTATCATTTAAAAAAATCTTTCCAGGGACACCTGGGTGGCTCATTGGGTTAAGCGTCTGCCTTCAGCTCAGGTCCCACATCGGGCTCCTTGCTCAGTGGGGAGCCTGCTTCTCCCTCTGCCTGCCGCTCCCCCTGCTTGTGCACTCTCTCTCTCTCAAATAAATAAATAAAATCTTAAAAAAAAATCTTTCCAACTTTAATGAGGCTGAATAACTTCTCATATCCTTATTATCCATCTACATTATCCTATGAATTATCTATTCATATCCTTTGCCTATTTGTTTTTTGTTTTTTTTTTATAAGTTCTGTTTGGCTCCTTTTTAAAAATTTATTTCTTTATTTTTTTAAAGATTTTATTTATTTATTTGACAGAGAGAGACACAGAGAGAGAGGGAACACAAGCGGGGGTAGTGGGAGAGAGAGAAGCAGGCTTCCCGCCGAGCAGGGAGCCCGATGCGGGGCTCGATCCCACTGGGATCATGACCTGAGCCGAAGGCAGACGCTTAACAACTGAGTCACCCAGGTGCCCCTCGTTTGCCTATTTGTTATTATAGTGTACTTTTGGTCAGTAAATTGCTATTGGGCAATAATGATTGGCTTGATAAAAAAAATCAGGAAGTCTTTGTACCAAATTGCTAACAGTATTTATTTACCTCCAGGGAGTGAGATATAGAAAATAAGGGGGATAGCTTCATTTTTATTTTATATCATCCTGTATTATTTTACAATCTATTTGCATTACTTTTGTAATTTAAAAAAATAACACAGAGGACAATAATTACAACAACAAATAAATCTTTGGCCTGGATTCTCAATGGCTGGAAATTCATGTTGGGCACAAGTTTTTATTGATTACAAGTTATTTTTTGGTTTATATGCAAAAAAAAAACAAAACCCAAAAAAAACAAAACCATTTACTGAATGCCTCCTAGTGAGCTGGCACTGCCCTAGGCACTTTCATAGAGCTTTCATCCTCATCCTCACAACAGCCCTGTGAGGTAGGAATTGGTCCCATTTTACAGAGTTCTTAGTAGGCAGGAGATTATTGCTTGATATACTTCTATTTGCCACATGCTTTCATGGGCTAGAGGTTCTTACTGGCTGGTGATTCATTGGTCAAGAGCTATCATTGGCCAAGAGTTCCTATAGGTTGTTCTAAGACTCAAATAATCAAAATACTAGAAATTTTCCCCCATAGGAGTGATAGGGTAGGTGGGATAAAAATGTAGGAAAGAGAGTCCATAGGCCCTCCCTCCAAGCACCACTGAGCACCACTGAGTTTGCTTTGGTCACCCATTCAAGGTGGAGGATGGGGGGTTGGGGTGGGACAGTGGGAGAGGAGAGAAAGTGGTTATAAGTCTTCTCGCTTCTTCAGGATGAGTTTCCTCACGAGTGCTATGATCTGGGGCCTGATCTCTTCCACCGACACAGTTGGGTCCCAAGCCCCTACTACCTTTCCATCTGGGGCCACTAGATACTTCCAGAAGTTCCAGGTGGGCTCCTTCCCAGAAGTCTCTAGAGAAAAAGGAAGAAGGAGAGCAAAGTGTGCTTCCCTGTGTCTCCTCTCCTGGAATTCCATTACCAGTGTCCATCCTTCCCTTGAAGCGGTGGTTCTATTAGTTAGAATTAACTAGAGAACTTGAAAAAAAATCTTGATGCCCATGGGGCACCTGGGTGCCTCAGTCAGTTAAGCGTCTGCCTTCAGCTCAGGTCATGATCTCGGGGTCCTGGGATCAAGCCCCAATTTGGGCTCCCTGCGCAGTGGGGAGTCTGCTTCTCCCTCTCTCTCTCTGCCCCTCCCCCCACCTGTGCACACACTCTCGCTGTCTCTCTCTTTTTTTTTTAAAGATTTTATTTATTTATTTGAGAGAGAGAGAATGAGAGATAGAGAGCATGAGAGGGAAGAGGGTCAGAGGGAGAAGCATACTCCCTGCTGAGCAGGGAGCCCGATGTGGGACTCGATCCCGGGACTCCAGGACCATAACCTGAGCCGAAGGCAGTCGCTTAACCAACTGAGCCACCCAGGCGCCCTGTCTCTTTCAAATAAATAAATAAAATCTTTAAAACAAAACAAAACAAAATAAAATAAAATCCTGATGTCCAGTCCACCTGCCAGTCTACTTAAATCGGAATCTCTGGTGTTAAGATTCAGGCATCAGTATTATTTAAAAGCTCTCCAGGAGATGCCACTATGGCCGCAAGGTTGAGAACTACTGCTGTAGGATTCTGTGAAATGCTTGATAAAGCAGTATCAGGTCCTCCTTTCTTAATGATCTCAAACTACTGAATAATCTACACCCTATTCTCAAATGCAATCTTTTTTTTTTTTAAAGATTTATTTTTATTTATTTTGAGAGAATGAGAATGAGAGAGAGAGAGAGAGAGAGAGCACATGAGAGGAGGGAGGGCCAGAGGGAGAAGCAGACTCCCCGCTGAGCAGGGAGCCCGATGTGGGACTCGATCCTGGGACTCCGGGATCATGACCTGAGCCGAAGGCAGTCGCGCAACCAACTGAGCCACCCAGGCGCCCTCAAATGCAATCTTAATGGTTTCCAAATGTTAGTCTGTGGACTGGTTGCATCTGAATCATGGTGGTGGTGGTATGGTGGGGGTGGTTAAACAGATTCTTGGGCCCTGATTCAGTAGGTCTCAGTCTAAACCACTTTTAAGAGCTCCCCAGTTGCTTCTAAAACAGTGTTAGGTTTGATCCATAACTCTGGGAACTGGAAAGGTACTAATAAAAACACATGGAGAAAAAAAGCAAGTATTAGGATTGACCCATAGAGCAAAATTCAAGTCAGCCTCAGTAAGGGATCTTCTGTTTGCTACACTGTTGTTTTTCATTTACTCCTTCAGGTGAATGCGGGGGTGGTGGTGAGGGATATGAAGGCAGTCAGAAGCATAGAACAGAAGGCAAAAATGGAGCCCCCAATGGAAGAGAAAGGCCCAAGGGAGGAAACAGGGCCATAATAACAAGCTTGGCCCATGACCCCATCTTGTGGTTCTGAGGCTCCTGGGGGTGTAGAAGGGATCTATTTCTGAAATATTAATATCTGGTATTTTTGGCTCTGAAGGTTTCCCTCTCATGGTCTACAAACTTGGCCCCTAACTTAGGACAGGAGATACCTGTCAGCCATCTCGGTCAGCCTTCTCCAGGCATGTGGCATCCCGTCTATGCCTTGGTTTCCCTATTCTAAGTCCATAATTCACATTGACTAAATCTGAGGGCCCAGTCTCCTTTTAAGAACCCCTGCGTATGAAAACAGGATCCCAGAGAAGTCTGCAAGAGTAACTCTGAGGGAGAACCTCAAGGCAGTGCGGCAGGGTGGGGGTTAGTAATATTCTCGGGCAGCTCATCCTCAAAGATTAGTGCTGGAACAGACCAGGAACCTACATGCAGGGATCTGGAAGGGGCCCCAGGTCACCCAGCCAGCCAGTGGCTTCTGCCTGCCCCAGGGAGCCATGACCTCAGTCAGCTGTGGGAAGATGAGGGAAAGGATCAGGACTCACGGATCAGGTACTTGAAGGCAGGGTGGGCACCAGTGCCTGTGACTGCGACCTTGCTAAACATGGGAAAAGAAACACTGTAGGTGCGGCGGGCGAAGCTCTCGATCTCCTTGTTGGTATCGGGCTCCTGCTGGCCGAACTGGTTGCAGGGGAAGGCAAGCACATTGAAGTGGTGGGGCCCCAGGTCCCGCTGCAGCTGCTGCAAGGCTCGGTAGTGCTGGTCTGTGAAGCCGCACTCGCTAGCCACGTTCACCACCAGGGACACCTGGTTGGCAAAAACAAAACCCAGACACATATACAACCCAGTGATGAGTCATGCACTTGTACATGACCTGACATGCCCACACGGTGACCACCCCCAACAATTAATGCTTTCTCATGTATACAAGGGCACAATGTATACATACATAAGCGTGCAACCCTCTCACAGATACATGAACACATGCATGCAGGCACAAATGAAATCAAACATGCAGGGGCGGCTACAGATTATGTGTGTATACACATACATGAACATTAATGAGAATAAGAATACAATATCCATAAATGGGGATGCATATGCCCCAAGATACAAAAATACATCAGCACACATCACACATGCCCACAAACACACACAACACATAGAGAGAGAGGTGCACACGCTGGTGAGCTCACATCACGAGGTAATGTAGGGGAGTAGAAAGGCAGATCTGGGTTCAATTTCTGGCTCAGTCAACTGGCACTCATCACTTTACATGGTCTCCCTTGTAATAAACCCACTGTGAACCCACTGAAGGCAGGAGCTATGTCTGCTTCACGCCTGGGCTTGACATATGGAAAAAAAAGCAGAAAGCGTGTGCTGAATGAGTAAGTTAATGTGCACATGTACACAGTCATCTGCACGGGTATATAGACAGACATGGGTTTTCTTCATAAAAGGACCCCACGGCAATCCATCCCATTTTGCTCCTCTCCCTCCAGCACACAAATATCACTTTCTTGAGTCACTAGACTAATCCTTAAATTTATTATCACCTTGTAATAAATGCATTTATTTATAGCCTTTAGGTGATAAATACAAAGCTGGCTGATGGAATTCAATTATAATACTGCAATTAGAACTTTGGCACCAAGGCTGTTTTTAGCTTCTAGTTATACATTGTTAAAGAATTCTTAAATCTTACCCTGTGTCTGGGCAGCCCAGCCCCACCCCCTTGGCCACTTTTTTGGAAGAGCAGGGATTATACTAGCTGGCTCCTAGCTGGCTCCGTAAAGAGGGCTACCTCCCAGAGGCAGCCTGGCACTAGACATGCACAGGCACAAACTGCTCAGGCTACACAGGGTTTCTCAACCTCAGCACTATGGACATTCTGGGCCAGATAATTTTTTATTATGCAGGGTCTGTCCTATTCATTGTAGGAAGTTTAGCATCATCCCTGGCCTCTACCCACTAGATGTCTAGTTTTGACAGTCAAAAATGTCTCCAAACATTGCTGTATGTCTCCTAGAGTAGTTGAGAACTACTTGGCTAGATGATGAGAAAACTCCCCTACCTGCCTCCACCAGATAAGGAAGGACCCATCCTATGGGGCCACAGGCCATTAGGACAACCTCCCTCATTTGTGTCAGCATGTCATATTCTGCCTGTGGTGGTAAGAAACTAGGACCCTTAGCTCCCTTCCCTAGTTAGTGGTCTTCCTCTTCTCTGCTGGATCCCTGGGCAATGAGAACATTAAAGGTTGCTTATTTTTAACCTACATCTTGTGTGTCTGCCCACTCTTTTGGAAGGAGGGAAATTCTGCCTCTAGTTCCATACCTGAAACCAAAAAGTTTATCCTTAAAGTGACCAAAACAAGGATAGACAGACACACCCAAATACATAGTTAATTTACATATATGTATAATCAAACATAGATATAGACTCAGGTGTGTGCATAGAAGTAAACAAACCATTTGCACACATGATACATTCAGGCCCACATGTACATAAGCTCACACCCTAGACAAGCACATTCGCAGGTGGTCACCTATTCACCCATACTCAACATTGGTCTAAATGACAGCCTTCCCATATAGCCTGAGGGCACAAACCATACACTCTTGCTCATGGCTTTGTCTCCAGGGTTGGACCCAGTGCCACACAGGTACTGGGAGCCAGTAAACCTTTTTCAATTTTTTAAAAAGACTGTGGTAAAATACACATAATGAGCCAGTAATTATTTACAAGTGAATGAATGACTCTACTGTCTAAATGGTAGATCCAGCTTGGGTTAACTCACAGAATCCTTTACAGCTTCCCTGGACTGACTATTCCTGGTTTCCGTTTAAACCTGGCAGTTAAGGGCTTGGGCTTTGGAGCTGGACTGCCTGGGTTCAAATTCTGACTCTATCTCTTAATAGGTATGTGACTTTGTTCTTTTTGTTTGTTTCAATTTCTTTCGGATTGATTTCTTGGCTTCTCACTCCCATGCTTTTAAGGATTTACCAATGACCTAGAGTATTAAAACACTCAGAATTCTGAGATCACTTCTCTGGGTCATTTTTCTCCAAGATTTCTCTTCCTCACATTCTGAGTGCCTCATTACTTCTGAAAATAAATAGACTTTGTTTTATTTATGTCTTAGCACTTAGTACCACTGTACTAGGAATTACCTTGTTCATTTCTCTGTTCCTGTTTATTGTCTCTCTCTTTTCCATTTCATATAAGCTCTGGTAAAGTGGAAACTTAGTCTGTTTTGTTCACCACTGTATCCCCAGGACGGGCCTAGTACTTAGCATACAGGAGGTGCTCAATAATAATGAATGAATGAATGAATGAATAGGAGAGCTGGTCAAGTGCTAACCTGGGGCTCTCTGTCAAGCTGCACTAGAAGGAAGGAAAGACCTGACTGGGAATGGGCCCTACTCTTACAGGCTCTTTGTCCTCAGTCCTGGATGAGTTTCTTGCTCGGGCCCACCAAACACAGGTACAGAGCATGCTACCTAGTGCTTCTGATGTAGAAAAATATTGAGGTTCGGAGCTGACAGCCAAGAAAGAATTCTTGAGATGTCTTTGGTGCAAAAAGGTACTTTTATTCAAGCACGAGGACAGGACCCATGGGCAGAAAGAGCTGCTCTGGGGTCATGAGAAGTGGCTGATTATATACTTTCAAGTTGAGAGGGGGTTAGGGATAGCACAAGCCTCCAGGGTAATTTGGAAACAAGGTTTCCAGGATCCTGAGGGGCTAGCCATTGTTGGGAAAAGGTCATTTATTACTGTTTAGTAAAAATTCAGTCATGAGACCCTTCAGATATGTATCAGTGGGTCATTGGCTTGGAGGATGATTGCTAACATCTATCTTGGAGGGTAGAGATACAGGAAGTTTCCAAAGAAATTTTTATATGTTAAAGTAGATTCACAGGATCCTGCGGGGTCAGGCTAAGATTGCCTTTTGTCCTTAGCAAAGTGTCAGCATCGAGGCAGCTGAATTCCTAGAAGAAGGTCACTCTACCTGTTTCAAGACTTGTCGATGGGCTGTAGGCAGTAAGGAAATTTAATTTTTTCTTTTGCCTTTGTTTCCCACATCACTTCCACACTGTTATCTCATTTGAAATTCACAACACCTTGGGGGACAATCAAGACAAGGAATATTGCCCCCAGGACTCCCAGTGTAACTGGGCATTTTAAGGTTTAGAAAGTGCTTTCTTCACTAAAGACTTCCTCCCAGGAGAAGAATGCTGATAGCCATTTTTGTGTGGTCCTTCCAAATCTGGATGCTGTACCTATGTGTCCTTTACCAACTCCCCACCTTTCCCACACCAAGGCCCTACCTAGGTTCATCTTTTTTTCTTTTTGTCTCAGGTCCATCTTGAGAAATGGACTTTGAGCGCTCTTCATTACACACAGTGCGGTATCTAGGCCTCTGAATATAGTGTTCAAGGCCCCTCGGGCTGTCCCTACTCACTTCAGCCTCATCTTCTACCACTAAGCTTCATGCTTTATACTCCTGCAAGCAGAATGCTTGGAGCCCATACATCCCTCCTCCATCCTTCTTGCTGTTTGCTTCTGACCTTTGGTATGAACAGTTCTTTGCCTGGAATGCTCTTCTTGGTCTTGCCAAAACTCACTCTTGTTTCAAAGACTCACCCAGGCACATTTTCTGTCTGAGTCCTCTCTGAGCTGAGATTCCTTCTTGATAAGGAGACAGCAGTTAGCCTGGGTGACTCTTATAGCTCAGCCCCAGCTGCCATCTTAGGAGTTTGCCTAGGGAAGTCCACAGATGGTTGGGTGATTCTCCTCCAGGCTCTGTGCTTTCTAGAGCTGTGTGACCCTATGCAAATACCTTCCTTTCCTCTAGTGTCCCGTCTAAAGGAAGATCTGTGTAAGGTCCCCGTGCATCTGAACTGGTAACTCCCCCTGCACTGCACATGCATTTTCACAATGCTCACATTGAACTCAATTATCAGCAACAATCCCAGCTCCCGGACGCGGAAACTGGGGGTGGGAGAGACAAAGGCGGCAGGACGCTAGGGTTTCTTTCCGACCCGTGCATGACAAAGGCTGGGCCGAGGCGAGCAGCCTCTGGGAGATGTCAGGACTCCAAAGCGCAAAGTCGCTGGGAGGGAAATCGGCGTCGGCTGGGGGAGTCTCGGGTTTCACTGCGCGCCGGGGCCCTGCCACGTCGTCGCGGGACAGACCCAGCGCAGGATCTGGGGGCGCCGCACCCCGTGGGAAATGCCTGGGATGGTGGGAGCCAGGGCAGGGCTGCGGAGCCCCGTCGGAGCCACACCCGCAGGGTCGCGGGCTGCGGGGCTCGAGCACCAGGCCCTGTCGGGGCGGCGCTGAGGCCCCGCGGGCGGACACTCACCGAGCCTCGGTACTTCTCCAGTGACACCAACTTGCCCCGGATGTTGACCGCCTTGAAGTCGTAGAAGTCCTGCTCCCGCTGCGCGCAGGCCGCGGCCGACAGGAGCAGCCACACCGCCACCACTGCAGCCACCATGACTGGCTCCCGAGCTGGCGGCGCTGCGAGGGCAAAATCGAGGCGGGGGGACCCAGCGTGGGGGGCGGGCGGAGGCGGCTCCGGCGCCGGGCGGCTGGGGCGGCTGGACGCGCCCCCTCGCCTTCTGCCCCGCTGGCGCTGGAGCACCGGGCTCTGGACCTCAGTCTCCCCTCCTGCACAGCGGGAGCGTCCGACTGCGCGCGGGTTCCCCGACCCCAGAGTCATGGTTTGGGGATTTTGACCACTGAGACCATTCCGAGCAGTTGCAGTGAGGCTCCGTCTCGTTGCAGGATGCGGCTACTTGGTAGGGAAAGGAAGGTGAAAAACTGGATCTGAGAGCTCGGCTTTTAATGAGTTCAGGGGCCTTAAGCTGGTCACGCCGCTTCTCTGGGCTTCAGCTTCTCCATCTGTTCAGGGGAGCTAGCTAGCCTCCCTTGCTGACGCACCCGGACAATATAGACCGGGAGTAATAGAAAAATGGAGGTGAAACTGACGGGAGAAAAAGAAACAAAGGCCATACTTTGCTGCTGCTGGGGGTCTGCAGGCAGAAACCCTGAGGCTTACAGATTGTAACACTCCTACAGCTCTCTCAAGGACTTCCTTTATTGCTTTACCGTTACAGCTTTACTCTTATTAGTGTCACTTTCCCCGATAGCTGTAAACACTCCCCAAGATATATTTGCAATTACCTCCTGAGCATATGGCCCACTGATAGACATCTGAAGGGTCTCATGACTGATGTTTTACTAGGCAGTAGTAAATAAACTTATCTTAGCAGCAGCTACCCCCCTCAAGGTCCTGAAAGCTTTACTTCCAAATTCCTTGGAGACTGTCGCCATCCTTAACCCCCACTAATTAAAAAGGGTATCATCAGTCACTCCTCACAACCCCAGTGCAGCTCTTTCTGTCCACAGGTCCTGTCCCCATGCCTTAATAAAACCACCTTTTTGCACCGAAAACGTCTCAAGAATTCTTTCTTGACTGTTTGCTCCTGGTCCATCTCTCTTCAAAATGCTTTGTCAGCTGAATGGTGCCTACAAACTTTAGGTGAATGAATATATGTTCCCTGAAGGAGATGGCACAGAGAAAGGGAAGAGAAGACAGAGAGCCTGTTGCAGGTTGGGTTTTGGGGAAGCAGATTCTGAGATGGAGGTTACTGTGCAGGAATTTATGAGGGCTCACCCTTGGAATCAACACCTGTGGAAGGGAGGGAGGGAACTGGAGTGGGCCCAAGTTCGGAGCTCCTTGCACGCCTGAGGACAGTCTTGGCTGACCCCATGCAGACTCTGGAGCTAGAATGGCCCATCAGAGTAGGCCCCAGATAAGCTAAAATGGCCAGGCCAGGACTTTATATCCCTGCGTCACCAGTAGCTGGATGTGGGGCCACCTGGGAAGGGCGTGACAGGAGCCAAGGTGACTCTGTCCCTGGAGGGGCTAACAGTCAAAGGCTTTCCACTGACAGCTCTCCCAGCAGTTAGTGTCTCAGCTCTTAACTGATGGGGAATCTGAGCAGCACATCACAGTGTCTCCCATACTCAGAAAACCCTTACCGAGCCCCACCAAGTGCCCAGCATGGTGCTGGGTGCTGATGCTGTCCTAGTTCTTTGGAAGCTCACAGGCTGCGCTGAGAGTGTAGCCGGGGCACAGGGGTGCGAGAGCACCTGGCTCCAGGGGCCCCAAACAGACCAAGTTGGGCCACTTGTTACTGACAAAATCCAAAGGCAAAGAGATGAGTGGTGGTGAAACGAGAAAGGAGTTTATTTCAGGAAGGCCAACACCGGGAAGACAGAGGACTAGCGTCTCGAAGACGGTCTCCAAGGTGCCAAAAGTACTTCCAGGTTTATATATGGACAATGTGGGGCAAAAGTGGGTGGGTACATGCAGGTAGGTAGTGGCAGTCAAATTGATCATTGTCGTGGAGTCATTCATGGTCAGGGTCTTGCTGGCTCGGGGCAGTCCTGATTGCTTGAAGGGGTGGCTTGGGTTCCTTTGCCTGGAAGGTCTTCCATCTGAGCCAGGAGATAAACTGGAAAAAAGAACCCAACTGGAAAATTCGAGGTCAAAATGGAGGCAGCCGAAGTCCTCTTTCATGAGAAACCAGATAAACTGGAGATTTGATGTAATGTGGTAAGGGCTAAGCACTCCTACAGCCACTCAACAAACACTTACTGAGTACCTGGTCTATGCCAGGTTCTGCTCTAGGTGCCTCTTAGGCGGTGATGAACAAGACAGCATGGTCCCTACCCAGGGGGAGACGGGTATTAACTAATTCATAAATAGGTCTATAATTACTACTGTGTTAAGTACCACCTAAACTAGCCTGGTGGGGGAAGGGGAGTCAGGCAAGGAGGGCTTCCCAGAGGAAAGAAAGTTTGAGCTGCACTCTGAAGAGTAAGTAGAAAGTAGCCAGTTGAAGCAAGGAAGCAAGTGCAAAGGTCCTGAGGGAGAGAGAAACACGGTGCATTGAGAAGCAAAGAAGGCTAGTCTGGCTGGAGCAGAGAGAGCAAAGGGTGAGAGAGGAAGGTACTGTGGCAGGTAAGGGTGAGATCACATAGTACCGGGAAGGCCACAGTAAAGAGTATGGTCTTTAAGCCAAGAAATGAGGATGATTGGTTATTGTTGTTATTTATTTATCTTTTTTTTCTTTTAGAAGGGGAGAGAGAAGGGGCAGAGGGAGAGAAAGAATCTTAAGCAAGCTCCACACCCAGCATGGGTCTTGAACTCATGACCCTGAGATCAGGACCTGAGCTGAAATCAAGAGTCAGCACTTAGCTGACTGAGCCACCCAGGGGCCCACTGTTGTTGTTATTTAAAGCAGGGGTGTCGGGCACCTGGGTGGCTCAGTTGGTTAGGCGACTGCCTTCGGCTCAGGTCATGATCCCAGAGTCCCGGGATCGAGTCCCACATCAGGCTCCCTGCTCAGCAAGGAGCCTGCTTCTCCCTTTGACCCTCCCCCCTCTCATGTACACTCTCTCTCTCTCAAATAAATAAATAAATCTTTAAAAAAAAAAAAAAGCAGGGGTGTCTAAGGATGTAGAAAGATCCCTCTGGATGTTTCAAAGAGAGTGGATAGAAACAGGAAAGAGCTCATGTGTTCTAGGCACTGAGGTAAAGGAAACTCTGGTTTTTTAAGGCCTAGAGGCAGTTGCTAACTTAGTAGCCAGGAAAGTCTTCCTGGAGGTGGTAACACTAGAATCATGTCTTCAGAGAGGAGTGGGAATTCTCCAGTTTGGGGAAGGAGAGGGCAAAATGTCAGCCTGAGAGAGCAGGGTCTGTGAAGGCACAGAGTCTCCACAAGAGTCTGCTTGGCTGTTGGGATGAGGAAGGTAGAGGGTAGGTGAGATTGGCGTGGTCATCAGGGGCCAGATGGAGAAGGGTCTTAAGTGCCAAGCCAAGGAGCTTGGACTTCACTCTATGCTGTGACAGGCAAAGTTTTGCAGGGTGGGCACAAGATCACATAGTTAATGAAACTCAAATCCAGGCCTTCAAATTCAGAACATGGACACTTTCTGAACTGCCAACGTGGCCTCTCTCTCCAAGAGCAGACAGCATTATCAAGGAGAGGAGGAAAAGGAGAAAAGGTGCTCCTGGCAAGAGCCAAGACAGAAATAAGGTGCTCCTGCCACTCCCACTCCCTCCCCCGCTCCACCGAGGGAGCCTCGGGCCTGTGATGCTTCTATGGTATTAAATGGCTCCCGCTTTACTCTGCCCCATGAAGATGTTGATCTCCCTTCCTGCCATCTGTCCCTTTCACTCAGCCTGTCCCTGGATGGCCCAATAACCATGAGTTCTCAAATTCTGCTCCATACAACTTAGAGTTTTGCAAGCTTGGCCAAGCTATTTCCTGTTAAAATCCAGATAGGAAGCCATTTCTACTAAGCAGGAAAAAAAATAGTGATGATATTTCTCACTTAAATTTCTCTTCTGGGGCCTATCCTCCTCCCCTATTCATGTTTGGGAACCCAGCTCAGATATTACCCTCCTCTGGTACTACACTTAATCACTCTCTCTTCTCTGATGCCTTTGGAGCTAGTACATTTTCCTCTTGGTGGGCTGGTGATAATATTGTGTAACTGTCTGTTTCCATGGCTATCTTCCCCATCAGCCATTGAGGCAGGCTGGACCGTATCAGAATCATCATTGTCCCCCTGGCATACACTAGCTACTCAGTAAATATATTTATTTTTCTTAAACCTTCTGGTGACTTTTATTACTTGTCTATGCTAGAATCTGATATGAGATGCTATTGATTTTAGCTATCAGTGTATTTTCAGTTTATTCTCGGTCCACTATGAGTTTTTTGTGTTTCTGAAAGAGCACAGTTATTTCCAGGTGGTGTATCTATATAAGTGGGAGACCCACGGGCACACACAAATGCACACACAGTTAGCGGAGTGCCTGAAAGGGTAAGGGACTCACCCCTGGATATCCTGTACTCCTCTTCCCAATAATAAACTCAAAGAAGCTTTTTATGGGTATTTAGAATACTCATGTTTTGTTCATTCCTCAAATTATTGATCACCTACTATCTACAAAACACATTTTTTTTTCAAGATTGTATTTATTTATTTGACAGAGAGAGAGTGAGAGAGCACAAGCAGGGGGAGCAGCAGAGGGAGAGGGAGAAACAGATTCCCGACTGAGCAGGGATCCCGACGCAGGGCTTGATCCCAGGACCCTGGGATCATGACCTGAGCTGAAGGCAGACGTTTAACCGACTGAACCACCCAGGCACCCCAACAAAACACATTTTAAGGATTAGGAATATAGTAGTTAATAGGACAGACCAAAAAAAAAAAAAAAAAAGACAATAGTTCTTGAACTTACATTCTTGTAGGGGGAAAAAGAATAATAACTAAAATGTATAATATGAAGCATATAGTACATTAGATGGTGGTAACTGGGGAGAGGGATAGAGAATGTGGCGGTGAAGGGAGGGCGGGGGAGTGGGAGGGATTTTGCAACTTTAATTCAAATGATCAGGAGGCCTCACTGAGAAAGTGGCATTTGAGCAAAGACCTG